CAAGTCTAAGGGAAAAACAATTGAAGACAGTTGGCAGTTTTTCAGAGAGACATTATTAAGGGCACAAGAGCAAACTATCCGACTGCATAGGAAAGATAGGAAGTATGGCAAGAGACCATCCTGGCTTACCCAGGAGATCTTCAATGATCTAAAAATCAAAAAAGAGTCATACAAAAAGTGGAAACTAGCTCAAATTACAAAGGATAAATATAAACAAATAACATAAGTATGTAGGGACAAAATTAGAAAGGTCAAGGCACAAAATGAGATCAAACTAGCTAGCGACATAAAGGGTAACAAGAAAACATTCTACAAATACATTTGAAACAAGAGGAAGATCAAGGACAGGGTAGGCCCTTTACTCAATGAGGGGGGAAAAACAATAACAGAAAATGTGGAAATGACAGAGGTGCTTAACGACTACTTTGTTTCAGTTTTCACCAAAAAGGTTGGCGGCAATTGGATGTCTAACATAGTGAATGCCAGTGAAATTGAGGTAGGATCATAGGCTAAAATAGGGAAAGAACAAGTTAAAAATTATGTAGACAAGTTAGATGTCTTCTAGTGACCAGAGCCTGATGAAATGCATCCTAGAATACACAAGGAGCTGACTGAGGAGATATCTGAGCCATTAGCGGTTATCTTTGAAAAGTCAAGGAAGACGGGAGAGATTCCAGAAGACTGGAAAAGAGCAAATATAGTGCCAATCTATAAAAAGGGAAATAAGTACAACCCAGGAAATTGTAGACCAGTCAGCTCAACTTCTGTATCCGGAAAGATAATGGAGCAAATAACTAAGAAATCAATTTGCAAACATCTAGAAGATAATAAGGTGATAAGTAACAGTCAGCATGGATTTGTTAAGAAGAAATCATGTCAAACCAACCTGATAGCTTTCTTTGACAGGGTAACAAGCCTTGTGGATAGGGGCGAAGCGGTAGTGTCATATCTTGACTTTAGTAAATCTTTTGATACTGTCTCATAAACAAACTAGGAAAATGCAACCTAGATGGAGCTACTATAAGGTGGATGCATAACTGGTTGGAAAACAGTTCCAAGAGAGTAGTTATCAGTGGTTCACAGTCATGCTGGAAGGGCATAGCGAGTGGGGTCCCGCAGGGATTAGTTTGGGGTCTGGTTCTGTTCAATATCTTCATCAGTGATTTAGATAATGGCATAGAGTACACTTATAAAGTTTGTGGATGATACCAAGCTGGGAGGGGTTGCAAGTGCTTTGGAAGATAGGATTATAATTCAAAATGATCTGGACAAACTGGAGGAATGGTCTGATGAAATTCAATAAGGACAAATGCGAAGTACTCCACTTAGGAAAGAACAATCAGTTGCACACATATAAAACGGGATATGACTGCCTAGGAAGAAGTAGTGCGGAAAGGGATCTGTGGGTTATAGTGGACCACAAGCTAAATGTGAGTCAACAGTGTAACACTGTTGCAAAAAAAGCGAATGTCATTCTGGGATATATTAGCAGGAGTGTTGTAAGCAAGACACACAAAGTAATTCTTCTGCTCTACTCTGCACTGTTTAGGCCTCAACTGAAGTATTGTGTCCAGTCTGGGCACCACATTTCAGGAAAGATGTGGACAAATTGGAGAAAGTCCGAGAAGAGCAACAAAAATGATTGAAGGTCTAGAAAACATGACCTATGAGGCAAGATTGAAAAAATTGGGTTTGTTTAGTCTGGAGAAAAGAAGACTTAGAGGGGACATAGAATCATAGAATATTATAGTTGGAAGAGACCTCAGGAGGTCATTTAGTCCAATCCCCTGCTCAAAGCAGGACCAACACCAGGGCTTTGTCAAGCCGGGCCTTAAAAACCTCTAAGGATGGAGATTCCAGCACCTCCCTAGGTGCTTCACCCCCTCCTAGTGAAATAGTGTTTCCTAATATCCAGACTAGACCTCCCCCACTGCAACTTGAGACCATTGCTTCTTGTTCTGTCATCTGCCACCACTGAGAACAAGCTAGCTGCATCCTCTTTGGAACCCCCCTTCAGGTAGTTGAAGGCTGCTAGCAAATCCCCCCTCACTCGTCTCTTCTGCAGACTAAATAACCCCAGTTCCCTCAGCTTCTGTACAGTTTTCAAGTACATAAAAGGTTGTTACAAGGAGGGAGGGAGAAAAATTGTTCTTCTTAACCTCTGAAGATAGGACAAGAAGCAATGGGCTTAAATTGCAGCACAGGAGGTTTAGGTTGGACATTAGGAAAAACTTCCCAACTGTCAGGGTGGTTAAGCACAGGAATAAATTGCCTAGGGAGGTTGTGGAATCTCCATCATTGGAGATTTTTAAGAGCAGGTTAGACAAACACCTCTCAGGAATGGTCTAGAATGATAATACTTAGTCCTGCTATGAGTGTAGGGGACTGAACTAGATGACCTCTCGAGGTCCCTTCCAGTTCTATGATTCTATGTCTCTGTATCTATTCATTTTGTTTGCTAACATTCTGAAACAGGATTTTGTTCATTACTCTTGAACAAAACAAGTAATCTCAGTGTCCACAAATTGTCAGTTGGAATCAGTAATGTGTGACAACAATCTTGAATTATGTATTGTATTTTTATATTGTTGTTGTTATTATTATTTATTATTATTATTATTATTATTTGTATTTTTTATTACCAAACACTTTGGGCAACAATCAGTAGGTTGAAAACCAAAAGTTTTTTGTATAAACTTTTCTGTGAACAATTACCAAATCTTGGCCTAGCTCTAGCAACATTGGCATAGGGTCTGCTATTGTTTGTAAAATCATTCTTTATAATTAAATATGAAATAAATTGATGAGCCTGATTCATGCTCTAGCAAGACAGTATGTTGCTAAAGCAGAATTGTAAAAATCTAACTGTTCAACGTATTAATGCTAAACACTTAATTTGGAGCTTTTGGTCGGGAGTACAAGATTTAATATTGCAAAGAATTTGTGAAGTGATTAGTTAAGGTCTTTATTTTGAACATGTGAAGCACTATGTAAGCACTAAGCATGGTGTATTAATTATGACTGACTTTCTTTCTCTTTAATATTTAAAAGCCAACAATGCTGAGAAAAAGATGCGCAAGACCCACAATATTAACTTCTTCAGAAAAGAAAACCAGGAGACAAATTATTGATAAAAGGGTGGCGTACACAAGGATATACTTGGGGAATCAAATTGGCCGATGGCTGACCTTAAGGGAAAAACTGGATTTCAAAAGTGACACAGACCTTGCAGGATTTTTGCTGGATCTGTAAGTAAAATAGTACCTCACTTGCATGAATATGAAACTAATTACTTTTTTTTTTGTATTATGATTATTATTTTGCATATTAGATAGAAGTGGTAGAAGGTTCCCAGGATGGGGGCAGGAGAATCCAGGAGGGCTTTGCCTTTGATGTTCCCCTCAAAATCAAACTCCATCATAGTACCATTTTGGAATCTGGGAATTACCATATTGGAGGAGACCAGCTGTCTATATAGTTTAGTAGTGGTCAGTATCAGCTACATTAGAGGAAGGTTCCAAAAAGCCCTGCAGTCCCAGTTATGGAATAGTTTTACTCCAGGTAGATTGTCTTCTTAACTCCCCAGAGGTTGACTTATGCCCTGAAGCTTTCCAGAACTCTTGATTTTATTTTTAAAATTTTCCGTATACCTCTAGATATTATATCTATAGATATATCAGGTTAAATATATAAAATTCTCTTTTTGAATCTTGTTATATTTCTGGCCTCAATTATATCTTTTGTCATCAAGTTTGATAGGCAAATAGTGTGTTGTGTTAAATTTTAATCGATTCTGTATTTGTCACCTTTCAGTTTCAGGGAGCGACCCCTTGTTTTTGTAAAATGAGAGGGTGAGTAGCAGTGCCTGATCTACTTTCTCAGAACCGGTCATTAGTTCGTACACCTTTACTGCATCTCTTCCTTATTTACCTCCTTTCTAAGGTGTGTGTCTTTTTAGTGTCCTCTTATGAAGATAGTCCATGGCTGTAATTCTTGTTGTCCATCTCTGAATCCCCTCTTTATTTCTACTACAACTTTTTGCCATGGGATGACCAGAACTAAACAGAGTATTCTAGGTAAGATTGTACCATTACTTAATAGCTATATATAATTTTAATTATTCTCCATCTTATTTCTTATGCATCCTAATAATTGTCCTTTTCTGACTGCTGCTGCGCAACAGGCCTCCATTGAGGTGTCCATACTGATGCACAGGTTTTTTTCTTGAGCTAGCAGATAAGTCTAAATACACTGAGTTCTAAATTATTCCCTCCAATGGACATTATTTTGCATTTGTCAACACTGAATTCTGTCTGCCATTGTGTTGCTTATTCAACTAACTTGATTAGGTCTCTTTGCAGGTTTGAATAGTCTTTAGTCTTCACTAACCCAAGTAATGTTCTCTCATCTGTAAATTCAGCCATGTCATTACTCACTGCCTTTTTTCCAGATCACTAACAAACACTAGTCCTTGCTGTACTCAACGGTTAACCTTGTGCCATGTTGAAAATTAGGATTCTTCTTTGAGTTATTGTACACATGGATTCCATTCTTGCTGTGCATATGCCCAGGTACACAATATCATATTCTTTTGGCTAGCAGTGTCTGTTGAGGCTGTACCAACTCACTAGATGTCCTTGTGCCTCCTCACTGAGGATATAAAGGGCAGAGTGAGTCCAACTAGCCCTCAGTTCCTTCTTACTGCCCATGTCGCAAAAGACTGAACCCCTGCAGTTTCCACTTGCATCTCTGCACACTGCATAGTATAGTGTGTGTGTATTTTTAGGATAGTTAATTATTTTATTATATAGTTAGAGTTAGTCTTTTGCCAATTGGCACAAGAAAACCTTTTTAATTAAATACTTAAGGGCACCCCTATCTTCCTTAGTTTTGCAGACCAATGGTCAAACCCTGCATCCGGATGGTAGAAACCCACCAAAAGAATCTGTTCAGCTGAAGTTCAGAACATTGTGCTCCAAAGCCGAAAAGCCTCAGCTAGACTAACTTAAAAAACCTAGTGGGAGAGGTTTGCTTTTTGAGCCTCTCAGCACCAGCTTTCTGTCCTTAGAATTGCTCAGCAATATTGGATTGTTTATTAGCCCTGAAACAATCTGGGCTTCCTGTCAGCACAATAAAGGTCTGTCTAGCAGCAACACAGTGGTAAGGTTCCTTCAGGGCTTTACTCATGTTTTTTTCCCCATCCCTCTTGGGACCTCAGTATAATATTGGCAGGGTTGGTGAGTTCCCTGCTTTGAGGCCTTAGTAACCTGTTCCCTCTGCCATTTATCTATAAAGTCTGCCTTTTTAGTGGCTGTTATATCATCAGCTCACAGGGTTGGAGAGATTCAGGCCCTCATGGCAGATCCACCTTATATAGTGTTTTATAAGGACAGAGTCAATCTCAGGCCTCATCCCATGTTCCTGCTTAAATTTGTTTTGGAATTCCATGTAAAACAATTCATTCATCTCCCAATTTTCTTTTGCAAGCCTCACTCAGCCCCAAGGGAAACTAAACTTCACACACTTGATGTAGTAAGTTAATTACATGCGTCTGATGAAGTGGGCATTCACCCACGAAAGCTTATGCTCCAATACATCTGTTAGTCTTTAAGGTGCCACAGGACTCTTTGTTGCTTTTTAAGTTAACTGTGTGTATTGTCAGGACAAAACCATTCAGAAACATACCTCAACTGTTAGGGGCCTTTGAAAAGGTGACTGAAATATCAGGTTAAATATCTTCTTAGAAATTATCTAAGTGGGTCTCCAGCTGTATAAGGACGTGTTATGATTTAGGCAGATTAGTTCCATTACACCCAGCCATGTTAGAGCTCATTGCACCAGAGCTTAGGCAGCCTCTAATGCATGCTTGAAGATCATCTTTATTTCTGAAATCTTCTAGGGCAGCTACATGTTGCTCGACCCACACTTTTACAGGATGCTTCTCTTTGGTAGAGGCTTCCGGATTGTACCCTTGCTTTGGTAGTGCTGTTCTGCAGTCATTGTTTAAGTTGGACTCCTACACGTCTCCAAGCAAAGAGAAGCTAGTTAGTCATAAATAATGGAATCTTGTTCAGTCACTTGAACAAGAAAGAAGTTACTTACCTTACACTAACTTCAAGAGGTTGTCCACATAGATTCCATGATCCACCCTCCTTCCCTGCTACCACAAAGTCCTGCTCCTCTGGAATTCGGTATTGGCAAAGAAACTGAGGGATGGTTGGGCCCTTGAGTGGGTGGGGTATGAGGGCATCTAGGGTGCAGACATAGCCCAAATAGACATGACTGGCCAAAGAATCGGATCTTACATGCATGCAGTCCATGTGTGCCAAGAGTGGAATCCATGTGGACAACATATCTCAAAGAACCACAGTTATCTAAAGTAAGGCATCTCATGATTGGCTAGTTTTTTTTTTTCTTTTATCTCCTTATGCTGGGGATCTGGTTGCACTCAGCAGAGTCTGTGAAGAAGAGGGGTGGAGAAGGATGGCTTTTGTTGAATGGAAGGCTGAACAGGGACAGATGGTGAAGGGGAGGAAGTAAAAGTAAGGAATTAACCATGACTAAGTAGAAAGATAGTTGGAGGTAGCTTGTTTTTCTTATTTTTTAAAGGAGCTGATTAGACATGTATGCAGTGTAGTTGTAGCTGTGTGAGTATCAGGATACTTGAGAGAGCAAGTGGGTGAGATAATATCTTTTATTGGACTAACTTCTATTGGTGAGAGAGGCATGCGTTCAAGCCACACAGAGCTCTCTGTGTGACTCAAAAGCTTGCATCTCTCACCAATAGAAGTTGGTCCAACAAAAGATATTACCTCACCTTAGACATGTGATAGTCATCACTCTGCTTGCTTGGTTGTATTTTTTTACCTCCACCCTGCATCTTTGTTTTTAGACAGTAAGATCTTGGGATGTGGACTGTGATCTGATGGCTGTGCAGTGTCTACCGTGTTTTGGGTGCTATTTGAATATAACTACTGTCCTTTTAATTCTTGTAGCTATGACAATGATGATCCATTACCTAAAGAAGCAGTAGTCTCCTTACCTGAAGATATGAGAATCGTAACTGCGAAAGAAGAAAGAGATTTACATGACTCCTCTTCAGCTGTTGGAATGTTAGTGATACTACTTTATTTTATGCAATTGATACTCATAAAGATAAGATGTAGAATACAAGTCTTTTAGCCTTCTCTTAAGTTAATTTTGCTTTATTGTCTCATATCAGATTTATGGCATTTTATGCTCTGGAGTATCCTAATAAGGAGAACTTGTTCTTTTAAAAGGTGTCCCTTTTCTGATGGTGTCCACACCAAATCCATTGATCTGCCTGTCAGAGTCCATTTCTTAAATATTGTGTTTTATTCTCCAGGGCTTTAAAAACTCTGTTTAATGTAAAACATCTGCCTGAATGAATGGGTGGAATTGAGCCCATGGTGCTGTTGGCTCTATCAGAGACGGAGAGGCTGGGAGCAAGTGCCACCATTTCTCTTTCAGGATGTGAGGGAGAGACAAGAAGAGGAGTAGTTAAAGCCAGTGATGTTTTTTCCATATGCTGGGGTGGGGGAATGAGGGAGTAGAGTGCACTCTGAGCCACTGCTATTTTCATAGAACTAGAGATGGGGAGAGCAGGGTGCAGAACAGTCTCTGAACTGCCTCTCCTTTAAGAGAAGGGGACGGAGTGAGTAGCAGAGGGCTCACAAGGAAAGCAGGACCTGGGAGGCCAAAGGCTATCCGTATTTCCAGGAGAGGAGCAGAGGCAGCAGCAGAGAAGCAGAGCATAGGTTGGTGAGTGGGATGGGGTAATGATCATGTATTTCATTGGGTGGCTTGAAGATGGGTTAATAGACATAAAATATGCATGATTTTGGCAGGGCATTTGGCAACCCGAGTATCTCACCTGACCTAGCAGCTTGAGTTAATGGTTGAGTAGGCGTTGTGAGGAAATCCTTCAAGCCATGGGACTTTCAAAGACAACAATTATAAAACTAACTTTAAGCTTTCTTAAATATTTTACTAATATCAAACCTTCTGTAATATAGATGTGACAGTGAGGACCGACTGACTGCAGAATCAGCCTGTTCTTTACCACAAAGTAGGGGAATCAGAACCGTGAAAGAAGAGAGGCATTTGCAGGATGACTCCTCTTCAGTACAGAGTCATGAAAAGTTAGTGATACATTTTTTTCCCTACCTTTTAAAATTTTCGATAAAGTAAAAATATTTTTAAAATATTTGCTGGTATCCAAAATAACTGAAAGGGCAGGGTTTCGTTATCTCCTAGTTATATAGTTTTAACCAATGTTCTAAAAAGGAAACAAGAGTTAACTTGAATATTGAGACACCTACTCTTCTTGGATTCTCACGAGACCATTGTTTTTCAGTCTGGTACCTTGCAATTTATCGAAAGCAAGAAGTAGCTAATTTTATTTCTCTGTTTTATTGCATGGTGTTGCTTCCTTAAACCACTGGAGACTGGGTTTTATATTAAATATTTTTTCTCTGTTAGAAATGCATTTTACTTCTCCAATTTAAATTGAAATTGAAATCTGACTTCCCTAGTAATCCACATTGAGTTTGCTTTATTAGCTGAAAATTTCCAGCCAATAGTGCAACAGCTTTTATATGGCTCATGTCAAAAAGCAGCTATGGTGAAATCAAACTGGAAAGAACCTGAAGCAATTGTATATAATCTTTTCACTCAATGTTTCCAGAGATGCTTTGTTGTGTCTCTTAAAACTTGTTACATACTCAAAAGTAGACTTCTTTCCTGGTCCAGAGTCAGTGAAATCATGAGAAATTGCATATTTTCTCTTTCTGTCATATCCTTGAGGTCCCACATCAACACTGCTATCCTTTAAGTCAATGAGCACATTAGTGCTACTTCTCATTTAGCCAAAATGATTAAAATAGAATCATGTGAGGTGCTATGGAGCCTGCAATCATTGAATGTGTTCCCTCCTCACAGTATGCCCTATTACTTCTGGTCTGTATAGTAAAACGTTGGTTTAAAAATTAAAACTAAGTTTCTCTCATGCAGCAATGCAGAACACAACAGTCAGGACAATGCAAATGATGCTGCTTATTTCAAAAGTTTAAAATGAATGGATTAAACATAATTAAATTTTCAGTTATATATAAACAAGTATGTATGTATTTATTCCTGAAAGCATGCTAGACCTTTCACAAAAGAAAGAAGTCACTCTCCTTGCTTCAAGGAGCTTAGTTTGTGACAATTAGACAGATCTAACAAGTGAGAGCAAAAATGTTAGGGACTGGGAGGGAAAGCAGGATGAGGGTTACTAAAGTAAGGTTAATTGGCTACATAGATTTTTAGAGTTAGATGCCTTGATATTTCCATTCTGTATTTGCATTTATACACACAGGAAGTTAAGGATCAGGAGGTTGACAGGGATACTTTGTGCAGCAGAGCTATGAAGCAAAGCAAAGCAAAATCTATTAATGATTAACAGATTTAAGACAGGTAACAATGAAGAGTCAGTTGTGTTGAGTTCTGGGATTTTTAGTGTGATATTGACATCAGAAGGAGCAGGTACAGTGAAGTACTCCTATTGGAGTAGCTGCTGCTGTTAGCCAATATTGTCTTTTGAACTTCCTCCCTGGATGGCTGTTGGTGTGGGCCATAGTTGGGGGGGAATGTTGCTGCATCTATTGTGCTCAGTTGGATTCCCCTGTCTCTGGGGTGAGGAGAAGTGAGCATCCAAACTCTTGCCTTCTCACCAGTACTGTGCATGGAGTGGTTGCTGCTGTAAACCATTCAGAGCTGTTGGCCTTGTAAATCCAATTCTGAATGGCAGCTGCTGCTGTATTTATAATGTACGCATATAGAGGTGGCATGTGTGTATACACACACTAAGTATTTTAAAGGGCTTGAATCAGTTACTTCAGTGACAAAATGTAAGGATACATGACATGCACACACAACACAAAGTTGTAAAATCAATATTAATAAAAGTGAATAAATAGACTGGGAAGATTTAAGTCCAAACAACTGTTTTAATTGAAACAGTACCTTGCTGTGTTTGCAACCCAGACACTGAAGCTTTGCACAAGGACACAAGAGCTGGAAATTCAAACTAACTAATCTATTTGGTTGGGTGTGCTGAGTGAACTACACAAAATAAACTGCATAAATAACATTAAAAAATAATGTGGTCTTTTAAATCTTTAAGTTTTAGTAATGTAAGTAGTTCTCAGTAACACAGATGAAGAAACTTGGTATCTTTAAAAATATCATTTTGAATCTGATGTTGGTCCTTTAACATTGGCTATTACAAACTGAAATGTTCTCTGCACCTCTTTTTCTTGACTTCAGAAATATGTTTTGGAGAGATCGGGCGGGTGGGTGGGAGGGAGGGAGGGAAGGACTTCGGTCATTTTAAGATCAGCAACAATTTAAAGGTGCACAGAGCAATTTTGCTGGCCTACACAATCCATTCCATATTAAATGTGAAGCTTGCTTAAACAAACACATTAAATGTATTTATTCAGGGCACCTACAGAAATGAGTGTGAAACTTTTTCTTTAACAGCCATAGTCTTTTAACATACATGTGACAGTTATAACCAAATATATAAGGTGATCTTTCTAAAAATGTACTTTTAAAACGTGCCCGGGACACTAGAGAGCCTAAGAAATTAGTGTAATTGCATCGTGTCCAGTCTCCTGGATATACAGTAATGTATTCCAAGAACATAGGCCTACCTTTTAAATATGAGTTTTCTATTCAAAATTATTATTCCTGAATTGTCTATTTCTGATTTTTTCCTAATGTGATTAATTTGAATATTTCCCTTTTAACAGATAAGTCAGCATTCATACAACGAGGTTTCCTGGTATTCAGGTGAAGATTCTCCTATTGGCTCTGAATCTGACCTTTCAGAAAGGTAAAATTATTTAAAACAGAAGGTATTTTCTTTGTGCATAGTATAAATTGGTACTTTGAAGAGCAATGTATTTTATATTGTTTGTAAAGTATTTACTAAATATTCTTATTAAAGGAATATTAAAATTATATTGTCTCAATGTTTTAATTTCTCTTCTGGTTCCTGGGGCTGGCATCTTGGGATATGAATATTTAGCATTCTTGAGGACTTCCTTTAAATCTAAGCAGCTTCCACTATTCAGTCTTTACTTGTTTGAATGATAACCTTGTAACTACAGTCTTGTTGTTTTCAGAGCCTTTGTAGCAAGTATTTGCCTATTTCATACCCATTTGATCATCTATTGTACGTCTCTCTTAGTTTTTAATAGCAGATTTAAGAAATAGTATTGTTCTTCAGGACAGGCTGTGAAGGGTAGGTGAGCTCTAACTACTTAAACGATTCAGGTTTTGTTGTTGTTGTTGTTAATTAATCTGTTGGACTTCTAAGAACCCATTTCTAACCTTTAATTCTGGTTTATCAGTTCCTTGTCAACTTTGGTCACTAATTCTGGCTTTGAATAGATCAGACTTGCCATCAGTCACCCAACTGAGAAGCTCCTACCCTGTGATTTGTTTTCATTCTGGTTTTAGGTTTAACCTAATTAATAAGGTTGTGAGTAGTCACTGTTTGCATTATGAATTGGCACTTCCCAATTTCCCTTTCAGACAGCCATGCTTATCTCTTAACGTACATCAAATAAGTCTGAATATTTAACATTTAGAGTACAGTGTGAGAACTCTTCTGGCATAAGACCGAATTAAGTTCTTATAGATGATGTGATCCAAAGACAGTGCTTGAAAAGTATGTGTGTACATACAGATAACCATGTTTACAGAAGTTCAGCACCAAAAATGCAGCTTTGCTCATTTAGCCCTTAAGTAATAGAAGAAAGCAAACATATAATGGCTTACTTTTCAGGGCAACAGCCACCTTTTTGTTGTGTGTCTGTGCAGTGCTAGCACAATGGGGCCTGGATCCCTATTTGGGCTGTAGGTACTACTGCAGTATCAGTAGCAATAATATTGATTGCAAGAGGCATGTTATACAGACTGGACTTGTTTCCTATCCACATACAGATATTATTATATACTGAATATACATAAAAGAATAATATCTCTAACTTTTAATTTGAGTTAATCACTTAAGTTTTATTTTGGAACCAGCAGTGAAATGTATTCATTTTTCAACAAAAATGACCACACTTGCTCATAATTTAGATGGTAGGGTTGGCACCTTATTAGCCAGTGGCACTGCTAAGTTAGAACTTTTTATCACAAAATAGTGTTGTGGACTCTGGGTTTTATGAATCTGATGTGTGCTTATACCGGGAACGCGTTTACCCTCTTCTACAGAGCCTAGTAACCAAGAGGAACAGTCAAAGTGTCTGGTGAGTTCCTTTCGTGACCTTTTTTCCAGTCACTGCTGCTAGCCAATGGCATTGAACAGTGTGACAAATGCTGCGGCGTGGGCGAGCAGGTGGATGAATGACACTAGCCTGGCTGGGGAGATACGGTGATGCGGGGCACTTCAGTTTACATTTCCTATCGCTCTGTTCGCAGCGCTTCTCCGCGGTGAGCCCCCGCGCCCTGCCGGCGGGCTGCCCGGGGGCCGCGCGGCCCGTAGGACTCCTTGGTCAGGGGCTGCTGCTCGCCCGAAAGGCGAGACGGTCCGCGCGGCGGGGCTCTTCCCCCTCCCCACCCAAAATGTGCGTCATCAGCCTGCGCCAGGACCGGGCGGTCACGTGTCCCGTGTTTATCTCGGTTCGGCGGGTCGCGCGCGCGACCTCGTCGCTCTGGGCCGCGCGCACCTGCTGTTGCTACTGCCGGCGGCGGCTCCGACGCCGTGACTCCCCGCTGGGAAGCGAGCGAGCGGCCCCACGGGGAGGGGCGCGGCTGGGAGACGGGACCCTGCCCCGCCAGGTGCCCGGAAGGGGAGCGGTGATGGGATTCCGGGGCTGCGGGAGGAGGGCGTGAGGGGGGAGCGGGGCGAGGGGAGCCCCGGGACACAACGCTTCCCGCACGGGCCCGTCCCCGTCCCGCTGGCACTGCCCGGGCTGAGCCGCACCGCAGGGGGTGGGCGCTCAGCTCCCTCCGCTCCCGAGTGAAGCCCTGAAGCTTCCTGCCCTCGCTGTGGGAGCGACGGACTAGGCTAAAGACGGCGCCCGTGCGAGGCTCCTGCATCCCGCGAGGGATCGAGCCGCACCATGGGAAGAAGAGCTGCAAAATTGGGCAGACGAGGGGGAAAGTGGAAGTTAGGAGTTGCTCCGAGCAGGGGGAAGCTGCAGCAGTAAGGAGAGCCACGAGAAGGGAGAGAAGGCAAACCAAAGGGGAGTGGAGGGTGCCGGATACACAGGGGCTAAAGAAATGTAGCAGTTGATTTATTTTCATAGATGGGGGAGATATACAAGAAAGCAAATTTTTTGAAATGAGCTACTACGTGTATGCGTGCATGGATGTTAGTTGATTTTACGGAGTATATTGTGATCTATGTTCTATTATGTATGTGCTCCTCAGAGAGGTGCTGAATCCTTGTTTAAAGTCGATAGGCGATAGAGGTGCTAGGCAGCTCTCTGGTCAGGCTCCACGAGAACCTCGGTTCTCGTGGAGCCTGAACTGTGTGTAAGATGATTTAATTGGTGTATTTGGTCCTGTGTATGTGTGTAAATATTGCAGTGTTTGAAATCAGCGTTTACAGCGATGACTTAGAACACTGACATCTGCATAATTACCATGAACTGCATTTTTACTATTATTTCTCTTTATTTGTAAGCTTACAATGTCATTACCGGCAAAGAGATGTGGTAGACCCCCTGTACTGTCCTGCTTGGAAAAGAAAAAGAGGAAGCAAAGTCTCGATAGAAGAAGAGGGAAAACAAGAATCTATGTGGGAAATCATATTGATAGATGGTTGACACTTAAGGAAAAATTGGATTTCAGAAATGATGCAGAAGTCGCAGGATTTTTACTAGATTTGTAAGTAAAATATCACCACATCTTATTACAATTAAATGAACCAAAGACTATTCTCAAAGTTAATTTAATACCGAATATATTTTTGTAATACAGATATGACAACTATGACCCATTGTCAAAAGCATCAATATGTTCCCTGCCTGAAGATGTGAGAAGAATTACAGTGAAAGGGGAAAGAGAGTTGCCAGATGACACTTCTTTAATAGCAGCGGATGGAACGTTAGTAACATTCTCTATTTTTACATGATTAGTATAAACAAAATTTAATTTGTGTTTAAAAGATCACAGGAAAGTCTTTTTAATTACAGTTAAGAGCGTTTATGTACAGAAAAATTGGCAGCCCATTTTAATAAAATAGGAAACCTCAGAATGTGCACAAAAGAGGTGCTGGACTTCCCATTATCTATAGATTTTAGAACTTTTAATGATATCTATAGAATTTTAATGATATTTCAAAGTTAAATATATACCTTCAGAATGCTTGAAGAGAATAAATGTAGAAGTAAGCAATATTAATTAATATGCATATTTCTGTGCTACAGGTATGACAATGATGACCAGTTGTCTAAAGAATCTACTTGTTCTGGACCCGAAGATGTAAGAATCATAACTGTGAAAGAAGAGAGGGATTTGCCTGATGACTGTTCAACTGAGACTGATGACACGTTAGTGACACTCTTACTTTTGCATGTTTTATATCTGAATATATTATTTTGCATCAGTTTATTATCACTTTTAATTTTGCTTATTAGAAACCCATACCATTCATGCTCTTATCTCTTATTTAAAAACAAATTGAAAGTTTTTGGATGGTCCAGATGAGGGGAAAACCTGAAGTACGTTGTGGGAAAGTTGAAAACCTCAAGGGGCACGCACGCAGCAAACCTGCATCTCAGTTTGCCGCCTTCCATAATTGTATGTAAAGCTCTCTGACATAACAAGAAAATATAGTGTCTCAGGTATTTTACAGTGAAATTGTGAGTAAATTTTGATACTTGTAGCAGAATGCAGCCTGCAGACTAATGCAATTATTGTGTGTGCAGTTAAATTTGCTCAAAAGACAAATGTTTCATTGTTGCCTGTTTTGGAATGATATTACATACATACAAAGTGACATGTTAACCTATCTAAAATAGTGCTGTGTTCTTCGAGGCAACCACACCATCAGTCGACTCTACTGATTTCTTTTACTGCAATACCAACAGTAACTGAGGCATTCACAGTTGAGATCAAAGGAGCCTCAAATAGGTATGCTTGTCCATTACTCTTTCTTTAGGTTTCAATTATCCACAACAGCGTTACTGAATACTTTAATTTGGTCCATATTTTAGTTACCTAACTTTCTTTAAAAATGTATTTTTAATGTGTGCAGGGGACACTGAGAGCCTAGGACATTACAATGGCATTGCATGGTGTGTCCAAACCCCTCGCTAATATGGTGAAGTACGTAAGGCATGAAGCATGTGTTTGCATGAATCTTAATTTCTACTATTCTTTTTTGTAACTTTTTAAACTTTTCCTACTTTGATTTTGACAGATTAACTAACTGGAGGTTCTGAAAGTGAGTCCTCTTGTGATTCAGAAGAATGTTTGGAAAAACTGAGTGAATTGCAAAATCAGTAAAGTGGATACATTCAAGTACATTCAAGTTGGCATCTTATTCTGACAACAGAACTTCAGTTTGCTTTAGAAAGCAGCAAGGATCTAAGATTGACTTTGTGAGATTGATATATCATGGGTAAGTGAAACTTTCTATGGAATACTTGTTTTATGGCCTTTTAGTATGTCAGAAATATTGTACAAATTGGTTGATCATCGTTAAAATTTCCTCATAGCCTAGTATTAGGTAGCTATACAGTACTTTGGAACAATCTTATAATCTTCATCTATATAAAGATTAATATATGAATTAATATTACTCCAGTGCTTTGAAATGGAAAATGCTGGACAAATGATTGTTAATAAACAGGCCAGGTCACTAGGCACATGCATGCTCAAAGCAAAGAAATGTTAGCTATGTTTAAGAACTAGGAAAGTTAGGTGAAGTCTCTCATTTATGGAACAAGTAGTATTTTAGGTAATTACAAACTAGCTAAGAATATTTATTTAATTGGATCACTTGAATGGCTGACCATGGATGTTTTTTGTAGAAAAATACTATCTTTATATTTTAGGTACATATATACCTCTCATTATTTTAGTATCTGATCGCCTCACAATCTTTAATATATGTTTCCTCACAACTTGCCTGTGAGGTGGGCAGTACTGTTATCCTATATTACAGATGCGTGAAACTGAGGCACGGGGAGACCAAGTGAGTTGCCCAGAGAAACACAGTACATCTATGGTAGAACAAGGGATTGAACCTAGATCTCCCAAGTCTGAGGCTAGCATCCTAACCAATAAAGCAGTGATATCTTAGATGGATATGAGAGCTATTAAGATGTTTCTCTGTCAGCCTCATAGAGGAGAATTCTGTTCACCTTTTGAAAAACGTGATGATGGATATTTTAATGGACAAAGAATATTGGCACTGGCAATCTTTTCCCTGGTTTTAAAGGTCTGAGAATGTACTTCCTAGTGAAGGGTGGGTAGGCAGGCAAGTATTTCCTGCTTCTCTGGGAGTGTAATGCCCTGTTGAGTTTCCTGTCAGCCTTTGAATATGTAGGATATATTTTCATTATATGCAAGTATGAGTGTGGGGTAACATTAATGTAAAGCAGTATCCATATAGTAAGGTCTCATTGTGGGTGCTTAACTACACCATAATAGTTTATTTAACAGTATTACAGCAGTTTGTTTTCCAAGCACTCTAATTAGTTAATTTTGGAAGCAAACTATTTGAACACTATCTTTCAGAGATCCCGGGGGTAGCTCTGCAGCTCATAGGCCTTCTCAGCAACGTTAATGATTTTTTTTTTCTGTCTTGCTTTTGGAATCCCATCCATCCGACTTGATTTTAGCCTTTGGGATGGGGTCTGAGTAATTGGGGGATTATTTTGGAGGAAGGACGCTGTGTGAGGGAGTGGAACATTTGGGTTTAAAAGTGCTTGTCAGGCAAAGTAGCTGTTGGTTATTAATGGTAGCAAGGCTTCTGCTACTGGAGGCTGAGAAAAGTTAAAGCAGGAATAGGGAGGAAGAGGTTCCAGTGTCTGAAAGGCCGCTTTGAGCAATAATGTATTACAGTGCTGCAGCTGAAGGGAAGCAGTTGAACACTTTCCCCTCGGTTGCTGGTTCTTTTCGAGCATGTATCCTCTGATCATCTCAATCTTAACATTTTGGAATGCCAGCCATGTGACCACATTGGTTGCTTTCAAATCCATCTTTGTAGTTCAATTACATTGAGTATAGGGCTATCCCAGTAAGTTTTAAGAAGCCATTTATTCTTCCTATTTAACATATCCTCTCAAAGAGGAGAGGAAGAAGATGGCCCTCCTGAGATAAAAGGGCTGTTTTTTTCAGGGACTTAATCCTGGAACATAATGTTAGGTGGCTGTATATATCCAGACCAAATACCTTTTGTCCTCATGTTATACAGAGTTTTTTTGCCTGAGCAATACTACAAATTAACAATCAGTTTGTTCAGTAATCCTGTTCCCACCAGTGTCATAGTTATTGGTTTGGGTAAAAGCATATCTGTGAGATAAATTGGTGGTGCTCATTAGTACTGCTCACAGAGTAACATACTAATACTAAGCTATGTTTATGGGTCCAGTTAATCCTGTCCATGCTGAAGTGGTTCTGGCAACAACTATTTAAATGGTTATTCCTAGACAATTTCTCTGACAGTTGTGGATTTTTTTTTTCTGAGAAACCACTCTCTCTATAGAACCCTCCTTCCCCAAGTAGTTTGGCTTTTTTTTGTTTGTTTTGGAGGGCTGGGAAATTTCTGTCCAACTTGTTCAGTGAAATATGGTGACCACCACCATGTTTAAACAAAGTTCAGATCTTGGCAAACCAGCCAGTAGCCTACTAAGCTGGAGACTTAGTCTCCAACGGTGTGTGGGGAGGGGGGTGCATTGCAGCTTCCTTGAAGTTCCAGTTCTATTATTCCACCTTCATGAGGTTAAAATCTTTAGAATCAACACTCTGTTGAGATGAATGGAAATGGTTCCTATCACTCTTAGGGACATATTACACCCTACTCTGCAGCTATAGAGAACTCTTTTTGGCTCTGCCTACACTGAGGATTTTCTGAAATTCTCCCATCCTT